TTTATCCAAATATAACTTATGTCTAATATCAACCTTTTGCTCAGAGCTTAATCTGGTCAAATCTTGACCAGGGTTCAGACAAATCTTTTTGTAATCGGGTGTATACTTGGTTGCAAGTAATCACCAGCATTATTTTTGTTGACTGAATTTTGAGGGTTTGCATGTATTGGCGAATTATGTTTTCATCTTTAAGGAAAGGTATACCACAAAAGAGACTATTGTATATCTCAAAATTAAAAATATGATTGTCAAACTTTTACAGCTAGAAGATTGATAAGTAGAACAAATGAGGGTTCCATCTTACTTACGCACATGCACACTTTATTCGGTTTCTTGGTGAATGACATGGGCCGAGAGAAGTCAAACAAGTTTGCAGAATGAATAGAAAACAGTGAGAGTCAAATTCGATACATACTTCGTAACAATATCAGCTATTAGTTAAAGTAGTCGATAGGTGCAAGAAGTGATAGCTACGTTTTATAGATATATTATGTTGTTGTACTACTGTTTGTACAATAATGTATTTCAGTAACTGCCAACATCACTGTAATATTGAAGAAAAGGTCAGTTTTCAAATATCTGACGAAATGTGAACACATGAATAGTCCATGTACCTCATAGATGAAACTTAACTTAGTTCTTGTTTTTGGTAACAGTTTGGGAATTGTGATGGGAGACAGTATTTGAAATGTAACTGGAAGTAAAGAAATACCCAGTCCATTTATGTTTGCACTGAACAAACCTTATACCAGATATATAAAAAGATTGCATCATTCAAAATCAGAGAAATATCTTTAGTACGACATCCCTTTCCTAACAACCTAATCAACTCTGCGATTGGTCTTCTTGACAGCCAATGGGGCTGGGTATCTTGTAGACTCTTAGTATTCAAAGTTCACCGTAAACTTCCGTTTCTGTAGGTGGTTCAGCACTAGAATATTCCCTGATGTTGCAAAAGACCAGCTAAACTGCCTTTCAAAGTGATTTGTCCAGTAACTGAGTTATTTCTGGGGATTGCTGGTTTGCGCAGTATACACCACATAAATTATCTCACTGACATAGACAAGATTATTGATGGCTGCTTGAATCGAATAATCGAGACGGAACGTTTCGTACAACCCTCTCGTTAAAATGAACAATGCTTATTAGTGTACAAAAGTCATGTTATGCCTTTATGTTTTTTGTTGTACAGTGGCATTTATCTTTTTCACTATACGTAACACTAACTGAAGTTAAAAGAAACCCAAATAGTGCCAAATTTTTAACCACTAACCTTTAAATACCATCGTCATACAAAGAATGGGAAAGATAATAGTCATTATGAAAAAGTAATAGTTGAAAGAGCCAACTGAGGGTCAGGGTGTTTCGAAAAACTGATAATTTTTTAAGACGTGAAATTATAATTGAGCTGCGATATCAACATTTTCTAGGATGAATAAAAACCATCGTTATCATGAATGGCACACATTTTTCCGAAGAACTCAGCAAAGCCAAATGGCTGGCATTTTGAGCTTTAGACAGCTTGTAGTCCGGCTGCATAGTTGTTTAATGCTATTGACAAAATGAACAAATGAAAATGTTGCATGCCAGTTGAGCAGATCTTCAAGTTCAGTGAATTGCGAACAGAGACGAAATCTGTGTACAGCACAATGAGTCAGTCGATCAATCAGAGTACAAACACACTAACTGTCTACATGCAGAAGCAGCAACTTCTTGACTTTATTAGTCAAATATGTTAAATATGATTCCTTCACTTATTGAATTTAAATAAAGCGAGAACAACAGTTTTAGCCGAATAGCGTGGATTCATTTCATTTTTAAGTTTCTCATCAGCCGCTTACAGCCTAAAACAATTTTACGATTAAACTATGGAGACTGTTCACATACTTAGATCAATTTGATAAACAATTATCGGTACGAAGGGAAGACAACATAGATAAAACGTAATTGAAGACAAACAAATTTAGCGAGTAGGTATGTTGGAAGCAATAGTCAGATTGTCTACCTTTAGAAAGATCCAGTGACTTGCAAAATGTATATAGGCCCACTGTTCTGACGGGTTCTGTTCCATCTACTGTAAACTCAGATCAGTTGAAACCTATTTATGAAAATGTGGTAATCCATGGTTTTAAAGCTAGCTATAAGTTTGGTCAAAAGCTATAAAACTTAAACATTTCTGATAAATCCGTGGCATATTAATCTGTTGGAGGTAATCATCAGGAATCCATGCATCTCGATTTCATGGTTGTTGGCACTCGTCAGCATGGCATATACGCAAACTTGAGGGAACTTAAATTCTCTCTGAAATTCAAACCCCATATCACATAGTGTTGCAGTGAATGACGTTACCACTGAGTTATTCAGGCCGCGACTGATTTCCTTCTATATTAGACTCAGTTCCTGGTCACTGTGGAGCAACTAATCTCATGTTATTAACTCTTGAGTGGTGTCAGAGTTCTATCGATCATTTTACAATTAGTATACTGTTGATGCATTCACTATTTGCAGTAACCTTGGACATGCCTCTTATTTGCTTAGTCTACTTAAAAATCCGCAACAAAACACAGAACTTACAATGGAAAATGAGCAGAATGGGGATTTCCACTCCCTTAATCTTTGAACCCATTGAAAGGTCGATGGCAATATACAAAGACTTATTTATAGTAAAGATTCATGCAGGTGAATTTTTCTTATTTTCAACAGCTTTTGTCCAGTAGGCCTCAAGGAAGGGCTAGTGAAAAGAGTTTCCAACCACACAAAATATCTTTGTTTGCCAGAAACAATGGGAAAAGAAATGACTATTGTTGAAAATTACCTCCATGATAATGGATATCCACAAACATTTATCGATGGATACTAGAAAATACCAACTACAAATGCAGAGTGCGTTATAGTCTTTGATCTTGGCTTCAAAGGTGATACTGTTTCTGGGGAAAATAATTACAGAATAAATACTGCCTTACGGAAGACCTATCCAGTTACCAGACTAGTTACACTGCACCATTGAGGAGATTGACGATTACCATTCCTCGCTTCATGTTACTTCCAACTGCACATACCAGTTTATAAGTATGTGCAAAAACATATACATTGAACAAATAAACAGGAGTGTTTATGGGCCCATTTCTAAACATATAACAAGGTGTTTGGGACTGAGAGTTAGATAAGTCTTCAACAGTGTTACGGCTCATCACTTTATTGATAGGGGACATGAAACTTATAACCAGAAATTGTCCAACATAATTAAGGAACGAGTGAATTTAAGTTTGCTGCCTTTCTTTGAGGGAGTAGCTATTAAACGAATCAAACAGAACTTATATATTTAGAAGGAAACAGTTATCAGTTTGTGCCTTTCATGGTGTTAACAAGCATGAAGTTTTACGTATCATTATTTGCTCATATACGCATGAATCTATTCTATCTTGTTTGGTTGACTCTGTTATTTGAATTCTACTTATCTGATTTTACTAGGTGTCGTAAATTCCCCGTTCTTTTTGCACTTATAGCGTGTAATCTTTCCCTATACGTAGAATACACTTGTCTCCGCCTTCCTTTTGTCAAACTTCCGCTCTACAGTACTCGTTCTTGTATATTTATTCACTTACTTTGGGTATTTTCTACCACATTATGTGCTTGTTATCTTTCCTTCACACCAGTAAGTTTCTATCACACTGATTCTAGTATTAGAAAATATTCTATATAATAGAACTGCTTTATGCTGTAAGCGGTTTATAAGAGCACTAGAAATAAAACGGATTCATGCTATTCGGCTAAAATTGTTGTTCTTGACTTATTTTAAAGATTTTTTCAGCAACTTAATCACACTGTTTGAGGCGCATTTGAATTCTTTTTTTATGCTTAAAATTTATGCACATTTTATGATTGTTTAATTCACAAACTTTGCACGGTTAACTACACAGTTCTAGTTTGCTTTGATGTCGGCTATGTCAATTAAGAGCTAATGAGGATATTGCGGGATGAGATATAGATAAATTACTTTTTACCTGCAGAATAAGCATGTAGAAGTTTGTTGATAAATTGATGTTAGATTGTATCTGTGGTAAATGAAAGTTGATCAGCAGTTCTTAAGTTACTAACAAATTCATATTTGGTGTTTACAAGCCTTACGCTCAATTGATTTATTATTGAGGCGAATGACTTATAAATACTAGTCATGGCATGTATATCTTTCATAGCAAAAGATTACAGTAGCATGGTTGCTCTTACAGCTTCGATAAAGCTTTTTCCATTAAAAAAGGTATCCACTTTGTTGTACATTTTTTCACATTAGTCTACTTATGTGTGAGAAGTGTCAATCTAAACCTTAAAAATCACGAGTTCTATACTATCTGTTTTAAGTTAAATGAGCAAATCAAGGCAATCAGAAACCTCGGCAACATTAACCTGGATTTCTTCGAAAGTACTTCCAATAACCTGAGTCAAAATGCGAAAGGCATTTCTGTCTCCAGGTGACTGTGACTAACTACGCAAACTTGATGATGCATACTAGAAAAGGTAGACTGTTCTTTGTTAGATGAATGAGCTGGAGACGAATATAAGAACTAATAAACCACTAGGCCGAAATAAGTGGAATCCCCTTGTACAAAAGACAGGAAAAAGGGTTCATATGTTTAATACGACTTGCGCCATGTCACTCGAAGATTTCAGACAGTTTGACCTTGTGAATGCTTTCATTTTATTTAACCCCGACAGTTATATTGAAGTTAATTATAACTGGTGACTAGATGCAAGTTTGAATAACACTTTTATTTGCAAATGAAAACCAACAACGATGTTTACCTTACTAGTTCGAAATTCATTTTGATCGAATGGGTCAGCTGAAAAATTCATAGCAAAATCTAACTACTTATTTTTAAACATAGTAGTATACTGTGTCAGATGCATAATACTTATGTAGTCAGTTGGAATGAAGTTCACAAATCCTATTACTACAAAATATTGATTTTACTTCCTTTCTTCGTTTATCTGCTATTTTCTAGTATGGTGCAGTTTTGATAAGGCCTGCATCTCCCGAACGATTTGATATGGTCCACGTCGATATATCAGAGGAGAGTGATACAACATTGGCTGACTTTAAAGCTGAGTTGGAAACTAAAATATCTAACGTTTCAGTACGTATTTTCTGAGCAGGAAAATAAATTGTAATGAGCACCTGAGACACTAAAAAAGAAGAAGAAGAATTGTTCATTAAGTCTTTTTTATTTCATCATTATCACTATGTATAAACGAAATTTTATTCAATAGAAGTTATCATCGATACCTAGCTTCCATTTTTGTGGATAACTATTATGCCAAGGAAGCTTCAACTTTTGGGTTTCATTACGAACGAAGCATGAAAAATAGATTGTACTATGCTATTAATTTTAATACTAGTGAAGTTGTAGAGTTGTAACGCCAAACTGTTGTTAGGTTTTCGTCCAGTCCGTGAATACGTCGTTGTATAGGGGTCGGACAGAAGATTGTGCGTAAGGTTGTCTGTGATGGTCTTGGCAGCCAGCACGAGAATCTCGGAGAGAAAAGGAGAAGAAAAAACGTCGGCCAGCTACTCAGAAAGCACAAAGGATGTACTCGCATCTGCCGACCGGTAATTAGTCACGACAAGATAAGACAATCTGGAAGTCGAAAATAGAAAGTAAATGGGTAGGGTTTCAAAAATGTTATGGAGTATCCTCCTTGACGAGTGACTTAAGCATAGCATTTCATACCCTTTGACTTATTGATATTAGTGTATATTGATCAAAGTTGAACTTTACTCAGGTTCCTGTCTGTGTTTTCATCGAAAGGGTAGTCACAGATTATGAAAAAACGAGTTTTGTTAATTATTGGTTTGATGATAAAGTTGAAAAAACGGTTTTAAGATTTTTGACTGGTAGGGATATGGAGAACTCATATACGGGGATTTTGAAAAAGGTCACAAGGATTAGACGAAAACGAATCTGTTTCTGATTAACTCATTGTCTTTGACTTCAGAAATTTACTGAATTTATGATCAGTAACAAAACAATCTAGTTAGTTTATAAATTTTGCATTCTAAGGTACTTACATAGATAATTACTAAAGATATCAAGATGCTACATGGTACATGGGTAAGTCGCATAGAACTGAATAATAGTATGAGGAAGTTTATTGTTCGATAAACTTTCCAATAAAGGATAAAAGAACGAGTATGCAGACCTATATGAGATAGCTTGAGCGGATGGGAGAAGTAGTTTATCAGTAATTTTACCTAACAAACAAAAGACTTAGACTTTGAATTATCTTAATGACCAGCGCATCAAAAATGGTTACATGGATGTTTTAATATGCAAATATGTAGTTCATGAATAGTAATTAGATCGCTTCTAGTTTTCAGGCTAGACTTTTGTATAATCGTTGAGTTTCACTAAGTGGTGATCGATGAATAAATCTAATTTTCCTTCCACCTTCCATTTAATTACCAATGTCAACCAAGTGTGAAAGTATGGAGGTCTTCGTCATCCTATTATATCCTATTCTGCGTTATTTTTCCTCCGCCTTGATGTTTGACCATATGACAAAATGCTTCATTTCTCTTTCCATTTGTTGAAACGTTTATCGAACAGTAACCCTTCTCACTCTATTGCTTACTTACTTACAGTGTCACATCTTGATATCTCCATCAGTTATGTGTATGGGTAACTTCGAATTCGTGGTCACTTTATTTGACAAAAACCTTTCATTCAGATACAGTTTTCCTGCAGAAAATGAAGTCACTAGATCACAAGTTGGATATCTATTTTCATTGGTCAGCTGAAGGTGCCTGATGACCTTGAGGGCTTGTTTCTATTTAGGGTGCTTCCTATATTTCAAAATGAACGGAGATAATATGTATTAAAAATTGATAGTGGATAACAGTGGAATGCTGGATGTGAATTTCATCATATTTAGGACTTGTCAACTGAATATACCCGATGATGTTCCGAATAGGACGAAACGTATGTCTGGGATTCCACTTCTGGCCACCGTTCATTTTTCTTGTCAGACTAAAAATACCGACACAGTCGAGGGATCCACAAAGAAGCCCATATAACATAAGTGGTCAATCAATGACGGGAAATTACAAGCTATTATATCTAAAGATGACATATCAGCCGTTGGAGTCATATCATTGTATGTTCCTGAAGGTACTTTCTTGTTGAATCACTTGACGTGGGCTTACTTTCCGAAACTGCATCTTAACATCTGAAGGTCACTGACTAGCCTCCAGTTTTGTAACACACAACACTAAAGCGTGTATCCCAAATAATGATCACTAAGCTAAGTGATTTTTCCTATGATGTATGTTTTTGTTTAGTTATCTTCCAAGTCAGGACAATTTAAAGAAGAATGAGGAGACAGTAATCATAATTGGATAATTCCTGAACATTTAAAAAGTTTGGTTCCCTATGTGATAATCTTTATCTCCGGTTTATTAATGTAATGCTCACGTAAACGAACCAAGTCAACATGCGTGTATAAAAATCCATGCCTTATTGTCGTCAGTATATTGACAGAACTGGGGGCAGACTCACTTTGCAGATATATATTGCAGAAAAAAATTTATATGTGCTCAGAATATTTTAGGCTTACAAATGAACAAAGAATGATACTATTCAAACTGAAAAACTCATAGTTTATTGGAGAATCGAAGAGAAAAATGAAGCATTAAAAATCAAGAATTGGCAATTAGAACCCTGGAATTGTTATGAAAATAAAAGGGGATTATATGATATAAAAAGGAGATAATCATAAGTATAACAATAAGATAAAGAAGGTGAATTAGCGAGTTATAATTAGAACTGACATAGACAAAATAAGGAATAACTCGTGGTGCAAAAGCTATAGAAAGGGGAGGATTGCATATGGGTGACTTTCCTACAGCGGTAAAATCTCTGTAAGTTAATGTTGTTACTGTGTGCAACGTCTTAGTTTCAAGAACCAAATGTGTCTTTCACTGATGCGACTTTTATGAAGAGCCTTTTAAAGAACATAAAATGGTGAAAAGTTATCGTTTATCTTCTAATATGACCTCATCAACCGATATGTTAGTTCTGCGAGTGAGTTCTGAGTCAATATTTAGTTGACTTCTGACTGCCTTTAGTGCCATACTGATTGGTATTTTAGTATACAGATTTGTTACAATCAATACGAAACTAAAGGCAGTCAGAAGTCAATTAAATATTGACTCAGAAATTACTCACAGAACTAACATATCAGTTGATGAGATTATATTGGGCGTACAGTTGTGCCTGACCTCCACAGTTACAGGGAAAAATATACAGACAAACAGAAGGAGTAGCAATGGGATCGCCAATATCCCCAGACGTAGCAGATATATTTGTGGGCAGTTGGGAAAACATGGCTTTACAAACTGCACCGAAAATATGGTGGCGATATGTAGATGACACATTTACTGTGTTGAAATCGAAATACATCGACAATTCCCTCACACATAAACTCAGTAGTAGGCTCAATCCAGCAATCCAAACTGTCAACTGCAGAGGAGTTAATAAACTAATCTACTCTGATATTGTCACCCAGGTGACAACCACCAGCACACTGAGTTTTCGAGTGGCTGTCATGATGTCCCCAACACCATCGAAGGCTCTCATGCAGTTGGAACCGATCTCCTCCTGCAGGATAATGACATCAAGACTCAACTTAAAAGGAAGGAAGGAAGGAAAGTCACAATCATGCAGTGCTATACTACAAACCTGCAAATAATACGGATGAAGAGAAGAAGGAGGAATTCTACAGACAACTGCAATCAGTACTGGACAAGACTAGTTGTCAACATCAAAATTCTAATGGGTGCGATGACTTGAATGCCTAACTGTAAGTGGATAACACAATGAAGAGAACCAATCATGGGTTGAGAAGTTCTCGGTAAAATGATGAATGAGAATGGAGAACTGTCTGCAGATTTCTGCGCATTCAACTATTTGATGATTGGAGGCAGTGGAGATGCTGTCAGCCTTCTGGACACAGATCAGATGAAGAAGGGGAGCACATGTAGGTTCAGACCATCAGACTATCTAATGCAAGGAACCTACCTTCCAAATCAAGTTGAAAGCCTTCAAAGAAGTTGGTGATAGGACAAAGTTCAAGTTCAAGTTCAATGCCCAGAGCAAAAAGCGAAGGACGAAACCACAAAGCATATCTTTAGATCAGTCATCAGGAAAAAATGGGAGACACTGAGCAACATCCCTGAGGGATCGGGCGTGGAAGAACCCTGGAACTCATTGAAAGCTATGTGGAGGGAAACCTGCATAACCGTGTTAGGAAGGAAGAAAAAAAGGCAAGACAAGAAATGGATCTCTACGGAGACATGAAAGTTAATAAGGCAGGGAGAGGGAGATAGTGAAGCAGAAGATAAGCTTGTGTAAGGATGAACAAGGAAAAGAGGAAATGAACATAACCAATAAAACACTACACTGGACAAAGAAGTGAAGAGTGCACGCAAAGAAAAACAACACTCCTGCGACACAGTTGCAAGTGAAGCAGGACAGGCTGCAGGTAGGAGAGACAGGGACCTGACAACACTGCATCAAATAACCAGGTTACGGTCTATCAGGGAAGAGATCAACATAGACGAAACTAGTGAAAGATACTGAAGGAAACCTTATTAGCAAGGAGGAGAAACAAAGGAAACAAAACGATGGGATGACCACTTGATAAACTCTTGAATCGACTACCCTCACCAGCTGCAACGCATCCAGAAATACCACCAAGAGCATATCCACAGAACTACCGGTGAACACACACCGTCCGACAAAAGCAGAAGTGAAGTCCTGAACGAAATAAAGTCTCTGAAATCCGGGAAAGCCGCAGGACCAGATGCAATTCCTCCAGAAGCACTGAAAACAGATGCAGAGACAACAGTAGGCACACTCAAACCACTATTGCAGAAGATTTGGAAGGAAGGCAAGGTACCTGCTGGTTGATTTAAAGAAGAGGTAACTTGTCAAACTTCCAAGGAAGGGAGACCTCAGTCTTTGTAAGAACTGGCGGAGAATCATCCTCCACCCCTGTCTACCACAAGCTAAATATTGAGTCGCAATATCCTGGAGAGATTAAAAAGCGCTCACAATTCAAAACTATTGCCGGAATAGGTTGGCTGGATTCCAAAAGAACAAGTCGTATGAGGATCAAATTGCAACGCTACGCTACGTATCATCATCAGTGAACAAAGTATAGGATAGCAGTCAACTCAACTCTACATCGACTTCATCGATTTTGGAAAGACCTTTGATAACATCGAC